CGGTCCGGCGGGCGCTGCGTTTCGGCGGTGCCTTCCCCAGCGAATAAATAACTCCCGCCTTCAAAGCGAGCTGCCCTCGGCTCGTAAACAAGAGCTGGAAAAAGTAGCCTGGCATGTCGGGGCAGATCCAGATCAAAGGGACGGGAAGGCGGCTGTGTTTGTTTGTGGTGTTTACCGGGGGTCTTTGAAGAAGGGTCCTAAAATCCACTTTCGGGCAGAGTTGCAGCTCGTCAGCTGCTTTCTCTTGCGGGGTGCTAAACGGGTCTGGTATGAGCGCTCTCTTGACGGGGCAGGGGGGAATGTAGCATTTGCCCAGTGGAGAGTGCGTGATAAATGTTTTGCCGATGACTGTACCAGTAATGTATCGGGCTCCAGCCACCCACGGATTCCCTCACACCACTATGCTAAGAGAATGATTTCCCAGTAATTAAAGAGCTCTCCTAGGACCGAGGCATGGACAGGGACATGTTTATCACGCTACTAGCCTATTACGCACTGCATAGACTTTTTTTTTTTTTTCTTCTAAGTGTAGTCCCAGAGACACTTTACACAAAGGATAGTCTGATGCAGTCAACCCGTCTTCTTTTTATTCGGTATTATTTATACCTTTACACTTTGGTGTCGTATTTCCAATCAGATACCTTTCTTTTAAGGATGAAAAATCCTGGAAGTGTAGAAAATATATATATAAAAACATTACTTGAAGTATTAGCATTCAAATAGCCAGCTGAGGATGTGGCTTTTAAAGTTAGCATTTCAAAGAGAAGCGGGTGAAACAGATAGGCAGTCACCCTGCTAAAGCAGTGAATTCCAGAGCAGGAGATCTGCAGATTAGGCACAGCGCCTGTCATCTGTGCCTCATGCTGTCTTGTAGGCACAAAAGATGAAAAGTTTGTCGTAAGCTGAAACATCAGATCGATCTTAATGCTTGCTCTGCGTGAACAACTTGTGCCATGACTTTATCTCCTTGTCCTTGATGATGTTGATTAGCGTGCCGATTATAAAGGACAGGTTTTCATTAGCGTGAATGTTTATAACTTCCTCCGTAGGTAGCTTGCGGCTGGCTGAACAGTATTGCCTTTTATTTCCAAAGCCTCCCGCGACTCGCATGCCATCGTCTTTCTTAGTTGGTAACAAATCATGTGGATTACGGTCTGTTTTGCTTTTGTAGACAAGATGTGAAATGGAGAAATACCTGGCACCTCAGCTCCCACCCGTTCCCGTCATCCCTGAACATAAGAAATACAGAAGAGACAGTGCCTCGGTTGTAGACCAGTTTTTCACTGACAGCGAAGGGTTGCCTTACAGCATCAACATGAACGTCTTCCTCCCTGACATTAGCCACCTGAGAACTGGCCTGTACAAATCTCAGAGACCCTGTGTAACCCACATCAAGACAGAGCCGGTCACCATCTTCAGTCACCAGAGCGAAACTACTGCCCCTGCCCCCGCCCCTACTCAGGCCCTCCCCGAATTTACCAGCATCTTCAGCTCTCACCAAACTCCCGATGTGAACAACATTTTCATCAAGCAGGAGCTTCCTACTCCAGATGTTCATCTTTCCGTCACGCCCCAGCAAGGCCAGTTATATCAGCTCTTGAGCTCACCGGATTTAGATATGCCCAACACTACTACTCAGGCAGCCGTGATGGACTCCCTTAACAATGTCTCCATGCCGTCAGCCATGGCGGGCCTTAACACGCTCTCCTCGGCTGTTCCACAGACTGCAATGAAACAGTTCCAGGGCATCCCCCCCTGCACCTACACCATGCCAAACCAGTTTCTGCAGCAGCAGGCCACTTATTTCCCTCCTTCGCCCCCAAGCTCAGAGCCTGGAAGTCCAGACAGACAAGCAGAGATGCTACAGAATTTAACCCCTCCTCCGTCATATGCCGCAACTATAGCTTCCAAGCTGGCAATTCACAATCCGAATTTACCAGCGACTCTGCCCATAACCCCCCAGAACATCCAACCAGTCAGATACAACAGGAGAAGTAACCCAGATTTGGAGAAAAGACGTATTCACTACTGTGACTATCCCGGTAAGCAATCTGGGCCAGAAAGTCCCAGCTCTTGCAATAGAAAAAAGTGTGAATAATCATGGATGAGGTACAAGTGGTTTTCTTTAGCTGTACTCTACACCTAGGGAGAAGCAAGTAATTTCTTGTCAAAGTAGAATTTCTCTTCTTTGTTTTTTTATTTTGTGTGGCACACTTTCACATGCTTTAAAAAAATATGTACCCTTTTCTTCCTGTCATTTGTAATTCTCCTAAACACCTGAGCTCATTTTACCGTGTTACAAAACTTGTAATCCATAGAAAAAAACCCCGATGGCCTTCTCTGATGTAATTCAGTGTGACAGTGCAGCTCCTGCTCTCGCTTTTCCAATACCTGTGATGGAGCAGAGGCTCAGTTTGAATCTGCTGGCACTGAAAGAACCGTTTCAGCTCCCGGTAGCCGAGGCCATGGCTGTATCTTCCCTGTTATGAACAGGGGATTCAGCTGCCCACATAAATCCATTAAAGCCACCTCTGAAAATTGTCCACAGATTGTTCCCTTCCAGCCTCTCCTTCTCCTACACTGAAGGGGAAGAGGGACCAGACTATAAACTGTGCCTCCGTGTAGTATATGGTCCCAGATACAAGGCGCTTACACTCATCCGAGCACGGAGACAAATTGCTGCTTGTGGTTGATCTCCCCCTTTACCAACATAACTCTCAGCAGTGTATCACCCGTTCGGTGTGCCGTATGGTAAATGCTCAGTGGAAGAGTTATGCTGAGGTCTGGGTGACGATGACACCGAGTCTGGCTTGATCAAATCCTCTAGAAACTTTTAAAAAAAAATATACTCCCCCTCTCAGTTGTTAAGTTAGGTAGCAGGTGTTACTGCACATAGATTGTAGCAGCTATTGGTCTATACTACATTACAAGGTAGTAAGTCTACCAGAAACGTAGGCATTTTTCTCTTTTCTATGTAAAGCGGCATATCCCTAGGAGCTTTCTATATCAAATTTTACTTCTAAGTGATGATGGTGCCAGAAGGTAGTAAACTTAAATGTTTCCAGATAGTACCCCAGCACTGAGTGAGGAAGTTTAAACGTAACGTGGAGCATTCCTGTTCTCCCTACTGAAATGCCTCTCTGCTTTTTTGTTTTGTTTTGTTTTGTTTTAGGCTGCACGAAAGTTTATACAAAGTCTTCTCACTTAAAAGCGCACCTGAGAACTCACACGGGTATGTACTCACTCTCCCGCTGTCTCTTCTTCATTCATGGCTTACACATTTTCTGAGAAAGCAAGCATGTTTGATCTGCCATCTTCTCCCTGTTTTCTGTAGAGTTCTGTGGGTTCAGGCTGGCAGTTCAGCTAAGAAAAACTTAAGATTTGGTCAGTGACAAGAAAAATCAGTTTTATTCTTGTTGCAGTTTTGTTAAACCATTTATAATATAGAACTCAAAATAGCTAAGAATGAAACAGATTGAAACTTTCCTTTTCAATCTTAAATGCCATAAAGTGTTAAAAAAAAAGGGGGGGCCTTTTTTTCCCCTTGAATAATGAATTGAGTGTAGTAAACATGCTACAGTTTTCAAGATTTATCTAAATAGGTAGAATTTTCTGGTTTCGGCTTTCTCTTTGACCTGTTAGAATTATTTAATCTTAGCATTTTTCAGAAACATCATGAAAACTCCCAAGATATCTCCATTTCCTTTGTCCTTAGCATTAAGTGTGCTTTATTTTTTTTTTTCAAGACAAGTGGTTCTATGTATTTATTTTTTTAAAAAAAGACATAATTTCAATTTTTTGTCAGTGAAAGACATTAAAATGGAGGAAATTAAAAGTGTCAGTGTGTCACACTTGTCTTTTGTACCTCAGTCAAATTCTGCCTGCAGCTACAGAGGCAGTCCCGTTCATGGGCCCGCGTGGAGTGGAGCTGGGAACAGTGTTGCTTGTGTGTGAGCGCAGGAGCCATGCGTGTAGAGGACAGCAGCTGGGCGGTAGAACCACCCTAGATGCTCTTCCTAAGCATTCACCTGCTGAGGCAGGGGGAAGGAGGAGAGAGGGAGATGGGGAGAAAAACAGTAGCTCACCAGTACTACACCTGAAACTATTTAGGGCAGTACAGAACTGGTCATGCTAAATCAGTGAAAAGCACATGGCTGATTTTGAAAAGAAATCAAATTAGAGGGCTGCAATTCCTGTTTTTTAAAAGTGAGTATGAACCCCAGCTCTTTTATGCATGGACCTCAATTCATAGCAAAACACAAGTCACAGTTCAAGCAACTCGCTTATTGAAGCAGGCTGTCAGCGCTTCGGCTGTGCCGTTCAAGTAATGGGGTTTCACCTAAGTTTAAACCAAAAGTCAAAACAAAACTTAGCATGAGCTATGATCTAACAAAATGTTTCACTGTCTCTATGGGAACAAGGCCTTCTCTTCAGCAACTATTTTGAATAGATCGTTGGATTATCGTAACGAAATTGAGTATCTCCAGGCTAAATGTTACTATGGAAATTTTGTTTTGATAAATGAGAGAGTTATCTGTGTTGCAGTCGCAGTAAAAAATTAAAAGCAACCATACAAAGATTATTGCTTTGCATTAGTAATAGACTAAACAAGAACACTGTTAAAATATTTTTGATACATATATATAATCACTCATTAGCAGTCAGCTTTGTAAGAAAGGAATATTTTCATGAGGCTATAAACCTGAATAATGTCAGAGAGTATAATCCCATTGCTCTAATAAATAATCTGTAAATTTAAGAGTGTGTGATTTCCACTTACGCACTTTAGCCAGCAACTAAATACCAGTTTTAAATATCTCACTTGCTATTATACAATAACTGGGAAGAGAGATAAAAGCAAAGCTTTAGCCTAAAAATGAACATTACATAGTCAGCATTTGAAACGTACACTTTTGCTTTTTTAAATCAATTTATATCTTTTTTGTACCTTGAGTAGCAATGACTTCAGGGTTTATAAAGTTAATACTTGGGTGCACAGAAATACATACCACATAGCTAATATATATTGCTTAGGGTCACTAATGTTTATTGTTGCCTTCACTTTTTTACCTATAGATATTTCACCTTAGAAATGTGGATAAATGTGCAAAGGTCAGAGGAGCTGATGTATTCATGGAAACAAGAATGTTGTTTTAGATAAAAATCTAGTGAACTTAAGCAGGTCTGTAATACAAAGGGTCTTCTGGGGAGGTGAATGAAGGGATAAACTGTCTAAAACGTGCATTACATGCAAGAATGTGAGTCCATATCCTGTTACCTGCATTATTTCAGAGTTTGCATTAGTTTAACTCTCTTGAATATTCACATAATACTTGAAGATTTCCAGCACCGATTCTGATCTCTGTCTTAACATATGGTTGAAATTTGTATTACGAGCAAGATCTCTGACTTACCCAGTACCGTAAATCGATTAAATGAATGTTAAAGTAAATGGGTGCAAACTCAGGGAAACCTGTGAAGTTGCAGAGCTCCTGCAGGAGTGCGGGGGAATCTCGCTATTGATCTCCAAAGAAAAGGGCTCGATGCCGAGGGCTAAATTGGGTGTGTGCCTCTGTGCATCCCATCCCCCAGAACTATGAGTTCATACAGCACTAGTAAGCTTTGGGTTTTTTGTGGGTTTTTTTTAAAGGACTTTGTGAAGCTTTTACCTTCAAAGTCTAAAGCAAGTGTCACGTAATCCATTTTAATAAAGTTGTGTGTGATATTCTTTAAAATCCCTTCAGGGATAGCAGACCTGTTTATCTGGCTAAACCCGTTCTTTAGTAATCATGGACCACTGAAGTTGTTTTCTCCTTATTCTTAGTTTCTTAACAATACCTTTTAAAATTGGCTGCAGTCTCTGTCTCATCCCAACCAGTCCCCGCCCTTCTCAGCAATCTGTCATCTTAAAATAAAAGAGCCTGCAGCAAAGTTTGTCTGCCATTAAAAGTCAAGACAGACCTTATGGTTTTCCTTTTGTATTGGAAAATCTCAGCCTTTTCACAGTATTTATTTAGCAGCCTTTCTCTTCTGAAAGGCTTTCACTGGGTTTAAGAGATGTTTTTTGAGAGCAAACCTAAGGGAAATGTTATTTTTGATAGGTGGAATGTAGGCTGTAGTCTTTTTTTCAATTCAGATATGAACACACTGTCAGACTTTATAAATTACATTTAAATAAAACTATAGGAAATGGGCAAGAGGAAAATCCCTTACATTTTTCTTCTTAGGTGTTCTCAAGGTGTTTACCTTACACCAAATCAGGTGGTATAAGCTGGTATAGTTATTCCGATTTAATGTAATTACACTCGACTTTTGCTGTTGATTAGGAATCCAGCATTTACGTAAAGAGCTAAGCAAAGTTAATGTATTTGTACCAGTTGCTGAAGCAAGCACATGTTTTTCTTTCTCTAGGTAATGCTTTAGCATTTGTAAATTATGAAGTAAATTCTAGTTGTTGGTAAACTGGTAACCCAAAAATTGAACATGAACAAAGATTGGAATGCTGCAAAGATACAGAACATATTGTACCCATCTCCATGCAGTTCTGGAGCAGATGTTTGGTACATTTTAATACCTTAAAACACTTCAGGATGGTATCTTAACTCTGTATTAGTTGTTCCTGAAACAGGTAAAATGGGATTCAGTGTGCTGAAGTACCTGTTGGAACATCTCTCAAAACGGATTGGATTTTTTTGACCTTTTAAAGCAGGGATTTTCTTTTAAAATAATTTTACCTGTTAGTCATGGAACAAGTTTTGTCTCATAACCGGCATTGTGCAACTACGGTATATAATGGGGGAGGGGGTTATGCATTTATTGCAGGCTGTCCAGCAGTAAAACCACCTTAAGGCTCTGGCATAACAGCTGTACGTCCAACTTGAAAACTGTGCCAAATGTCAGTGAAAAGCAGTTACTTGTGTGTTGTGAATAAACGTAATTCGGTTCCTTTTCTGTCATCTGAGTATATACCTATATATTAAGTAATCCTTTAGAAGCAGCAGTCCTGTAACTTACCCTGTTAGATCTCTTTATACGTTAAAGATTTGGACTGTGGAAGTTAAGCCTTTGATATGCAGGCACCTGGAATACCCTACCTGTACCCTACCTGTAACACTGCAGAAGAGCCGCTGGCTCCAGGCTTTTCTATTATTTCTGCAAACAGCTGCACACTTCAGAATTGTGTATGGTTTTAAGAGGAAAATCTGTCATTGTTTTGAACACATCAAGGCATGCACATTGAGAACATTTTCCAGCTGCATGTTGGTTTTCCGTATACAGAGTCTTTGTACAGGCTTGTCAACTGGTCACATGGTGGGCTTGCCATTAATAGTTTCTAGCATTAACTGCAGAACTATTTCATCTCTATCTATAGATCTAGTTTGTATTTGGTGATGGGAAGTGGAAGCCGAGATAACTCGAGAGAAATGGCATTTCTCTAAATGAGATGCACTCAAAATACTTCCACCGTCCCTAGTTATTTCAAATGTTTATGTAGGCATGGGACAGCTGCTGACTTGTGCGGTTCCTCAAGGTGTTAAACATTTTATTTTATTTTAGATCTCTGCCTCAATAGATCCAGAATTAGGCTCTGATGGTACACCAGAATTAGAACCAGTTGTGTGAGATAGACTTCAGCAGTCCATAGGACTTGGCACTCCGAGTTTACCATAGCTGTAGACAGATGCTTTTTAAAAAAGGTGGTACCATATAGAATTGCCTGGGAATTCAGGACGCCCGTTGTTCAAAAGGGAAGACAAGTAGTAGTTGGACTCCTGCTGGAAAAAAAGCAGCATACGAAAACATGTGTTGACTCAAATCATCCTGAGACTCAGGTGAGGGATTTCACTCATGGTGTACAAGTGGAGAACGGAGGCTCCAAAAGACTCTGCCTTGCTCGTGGTTGCAGCCTTCTTTGTACGTAGCAAACCTCATCCTGGAAAAATCTTTGCACCATGAAAATAGCTATTAAGTAATATTTCTGTGCAGATTCTGCTGCTTTAACGTGTTAGATGAGTCAGCCGCACAGATGATACTTTAAGGAGGTGTCAGTAAGTGGCCATCATTGATAGAGTCAATAAGGAAAAATGGAGGAGAGTTAAATAAAACTGTTGACAAAGTGCATTAAAGTGCAGCGTTGCTAGATGCTGCTGGAGAATATGTTGGTATCTTTTATTTATGAATTCTGCTAAATCCATTAGTTGCCTGTGAGAAATGGAAGTACATTATTTTCCT